TTGGGACAGGAGGTGAAGGAGGCGTATTCCATGCCAAAGGCATCGTAGTATCTCGGGTCCTTTGCGTACTTCGACCCGACATAGTATATCGTCTCGTAGTGCTCGGGGTCGCTCAGGGAGACTTCGTTGGGGGTGATGCGCACGATAGGGCCGTATATCTTGTGGAGGGTCTCGACCTGCTGGTAAAAGCGGCTGCCATCTTTGAAGCTATAGTAGGTCTGGTAGAGGAAGGTGAGCGCAGCGAGCTTGGGGCCTGGGATATGCGCGAGGGGGTGGAAGAAGAGACGGTAGACGACGATGTAGGCGATGAAGGAGGGGATGATCGCCACGGCGTAGATCAATGCCCAGGAGATGCTAGGCGGCCACTGCCACTCGTAGCTCTCGAGCCGCCCAAGCCCCAACCCCACCATGATGATTGATGATGATCGATGTTTGACGCTATTTGGCGGTCAGGTTAGGAACGTACCAAGATTCCAACCAACAGTGCGCGAGGAAGTTCAAGAGTAAGAGAACAGGTTCCGTAGAGGCATTCTGGTTCATGGGAATGGGTCTGTGGGTACGGCGGAGGCTATTTATTTATTATATCTAGAGAAGGGCTGCAGTAAAAAGCGAGGGAACCCCCATTATTATTGGGTTCCTCTGCGGCCTCTGCGGGGTCTTTATTTAGCGCCGACTAACTTCGTAATTAATATAGGAGCCCTCGCCCTCGACCGAATGGACATCAACATCGCAGATCGATCGCAATACTGCGTCGCTCGCACCAACTCTAAAAATTTTATTCATATACACTTATGCTCTTCCTCTTCTTTTGAAGTAAGTATGGACTTGGAAATCAAAGAAGGAGCGACTCCGACAGTGGCGAGTCTCCCACAGTCGCCCGCGAATCCACTGACGCCGCCGACTGCGGGGGGGGGACATAACTGCAGCGGTGGACGAAACTCCCGCGGCAATCCCAGCAGGAGAAATTATATCTGTCGTGAGTACTGATTTGCTGGAATGGAAGCTGGTTAAGTTTACTAGGGGATTAAGGATCCATTGAACGAGGATGCTGAGACCGATTCTGCGTACGGAGGCGATGAGTAAGGCTGCAGCCATTCTTCTACGGACAGGGTATTAATAATTGCAGTTCGAGCTCTACGGCCTCGATCGCGAGTAACATTCGGCAGTATCGTGAGCTCCATGGCCGGACGTATCACAACTTCGATACGGAAACCACTTCAGAGTACTGGTGAGTCAAGTCTGCATTAAAGACAGCCAGCGGCTGACCTTGGCCAGGGGACCAAATGATGAAAAGATGATCGAGCAGTTGGATATTGGGCATGCACCCCTACGCCCCCTGATTGAAACTAGTTAATGGGCTCGTAGCCATCACATGTTGACGCTCACGCTGGATGGAAAGCTCTTCCTTGCACCAATTGGCCCGAATCCACAGGTAAATTATGTCACGAGCATATAAAGACACGATGGTAACAAAGTACCTAGAGGGTATTAGATGTTGGAACAGGAACTGGAATATGGGTATGTACGTAGTGCGTCCTTTGGATCCACCCAGCATCTACTGACAGAAACCAGTGACTTTGCAGGCCAATTTCCGTCAGCAGAGGTCATTGGCACAGACATATTGCCCAGCCAACCCAGCTTCGTCCCTCCAAATCTCAAGTTCGAGCTCGACGATGCTCAGCTAGAATGGACTTACCAACAGAACAGCTTCGATTACATCCACCTGCGCTGCCTGCTTGGCGCAATCCAAGACTGGGCGCACCTTTACCGTGAGATCTACAAGTAGGTTTGCCCTCATAAGCCTCAAAAGACGCCCATGCTTAAAGAAAGCATTTAGATGCACCAAGCCCGGGGGATACATTGAGCATCTGGAAATTTCGATCATGTTCAAATCTGAAGACGGCTCGGTGACAGAAGACCACTTCACGGCGCAATGGTCCAAGACGCTCCTCTACGCCGCCGTGCAGCTCGGCAAGACCTTCGCAATCTACGACTTCAATCGCGAAATGATCACCCAAGCAGGCTTCGTCGATGTAGTGGAGAAGAAGTTCAAGGTCCCGGTTGGCACATGGCCAAGTGATCCGAAGATGAAAGAGTTAGGACGGTGGAACATGCTGTTTTGTCTTGAGGGTTTGGAGAGCTGGAGTCTGTATTTGCTGAGTACGGTTTTGAAGGTATGTGGTGTCCGAAGCTCGGATGTGACGGTGGACTAACGAAAATTCAGTGGTCGTACGAGGAAATCCAGGTGCATATCATGACGATGCGCAAGGAGATTTTGAACCGAAGGAATCACGCTTATTATGATATGTACGTCCTGCTCTTGCAACTTCTTCTCCATATTGCGGACTCACTGACGCGTGGAAGTAATGTTGTAAGGTATTCGTATTATAAATCCACGTTTTCGAGATCTTTTCCTTTTTTAAAAAAAAGATTTAATATTATTAAACTAAAAAACTTTAAAAATTAACTCGTGGATTTGAGGAGGTCAGCCTGGGCATAGCGGCATACTTGAATAATATCAATAGTGTCTAGCCGCAATTAATTAGTGTTGTTAAGCACAGTTTTCCTCTACTCGCTGTTCTCGCTTAGGTTGAGGAAAACATCAACAAACACAAAGGTTCAACTATTCAGGAGTGAGAAGTGCCGAGAGAAACTTGGCAAAGGAAGAAAAACACCAGTACTATACTTGTTCTATTATTTTTGAATCTGAACCAAATGCAAGTCTTTGTTCTTGAGACACGCATCACTTACCCAGAGGAAATCCTGGATATATTTTGTAGCCCAGCCATAGATTACTTCCAAGTCCATAATTTTTTGCTGCAAAACCAGCAGTTTGAGATATTACAAGAGCTTTTGCTGCTACCCATACAACGCCCAGCAGCGAGCAGGACTACCCCGCCAAACGCATATTCCTTCTTGCAAGCCACAGTTATGTTTGGCCCTCCCTGAAGACCATGCAATATGATAAGAGATGCGACCGGCATGTTCTTAAAGACCAAACTAGAGTTATATATTATTTAAAAAAAAAAAAAAAAACAATTTGATAACAGATTCTCTAAAACACTCGTTATGAAAAAGAGGGGGAAGTGGTGGTTGAGACAAATCGCTCTGCCTACACTTAATCTCCTCTTTAAAAATTGCTGAGATGCCGAACCTATCTTAATTCTATTCCTACCATCCTTTCAAGCAACAGCAGAAATTTAGAAGTTCTAAACTGAGACGCTAACAACCCGCAATCCTCCACACTCCCAAAATCCAAGCCCAGCAACTCATTCGCTAACTCTTCATTGGAGTATCGAGACGCTGTACAGAACAATCTCTTAGTAAGGTCATATCATTGATGGAGCAAGACTACGGTTTCATTGCGAAGTAAGTTGTTCGATCTTGAACAGATATTCATCCAATCAGACGTCGCTAAAGGAAAGCTCAATACACTCGTAAATTTCAAGAAATAAGACCTCTCTAAAGACTCTACGAGTGGAAAATGGAACTTTCTGGCCCGAAGATTGGAGAAGAGGGAGTACGAAGGCAAGGAGAGCGAGACATACGTCAATGGAGATCTGATCTAACAGAAGAAACTTCAGAGACCCATATCAAGATATGTTCTTCCTTCATATCACAATATACTTGAGACTGGTAGGCAATCGCCAATGAATTGTTGTCAGATCCTCAAGCTCACATTTTCAAGCACCGAGACCAAAAACACTGAATGGGATTGAAGTCTACACGCCACGAGGAAGAGAGTCGAGTGATAAGTCTGTGAGCTACTTCCATATTCCATGGTTTGAGTTCGAGAAGTTTGCTCACGAACATGGTTTATCCCTGTTTACGACCTCAATCAACCCCATCTAAAAGTTCGGCGGTTAAGCCACCGCGGACACAAATTCGTCGTCGATCTCTTGGCTTCGAATCTTCCAGTGATTGGGAAGTCCCTGAAATCTTCTACTTCTCCAGTGTCAGCTCATCCAATGCTCAGTTACCAGTCCTGGAGCAACGATGGAACTTTCTCGATGTCAAAATCGAAAAATATTCCAATGGAAGCCTTCTATTCGACATTCCCACCACTGATCCTGAGCAATACGTGGACCAATTTGTCGAGGTGGCTGGTCATCTTCAAATGCGCCTCCAAAGAAGAAGCACAGTCTATGTTCGCAGATGTCATGGGCGAGCCTCATCTTCCCATTGGTGACGATGTTGTTTCAGCGATCGCTTCATGACTAGATGGTTTCCTTCTGAGACAAGTAATCTTTTCTCTTTAGTGATCAATTTCAAGTATTACTAGTGATAAGGGAAATCTAAACTGAAGTAATTAAGGTGTATGCCCTCGACTGCTTTATAAAGGGCCAACGTAAAAGACAAAAAGAATCTTCGAATTAAGCATTTAAGGCCGGGATTTCGGAAGAAGGAATAATAAAGGATTTAACTTATAGGCTTTAAATACCGAGAATCTCGTGTACTTCTAAAACAAGTTTCAGAAGTAAATATATTTCTAAAACGGCAAATACCCACTCCCCAGAGCTTAATTAACGACTTGAAATGTAGACACAACAATGTTTCGAGGCTTTAATAGAGCTCCAACGAGTAACTTTTTTTTTTTGCCGGTTTGACACTTATATTTGCTTCCCAGACTTGTTCTGAAAGTACATTGGCTAAAAGAATTTTTTTTATGAGGAAAAATTCTCTTTTAGCCGCTCACTTGTGTGTGGGGTCGCTTCAGGTTGAGTCCTTAAGCCTTAGTCACTAGACCACACTCTCCCTCCAAGGCTTGCAAAATCACTGAAAAGAATTCAAAGGAGTATATTCATTATTTGATGTTTCTGAAGTCACTTGGGCAGTTTTTGAACTCAACTCAATTTCAAAATAAATTCCTTATAATGCGGATCATGTCTTTCAATTGCATTTAAACCAAAAGCCAGTTTGGTATTTTAAAAAAAGAAAAAGAAAAAGGAAAATCTCTCTCCGCAGCCTTTTGAAGAGCTGGAAGCAATCTTTCTCGGTCACGACATCTGCAGGACTTGAACCTACGCTCCCTGGGGAAACAGATATCAATATAATTCAAGTCTGTCGCGTTAACCACTCCGCCAAGATGTCTTTTTTCTTGAAGGGATGTCGCTATGTTGATAAATATTCGAGACAGTGATTTCTAAAGATGTGCAGTGTGGGTTGAATCTATTAGCGAGATGCAGGGTAGTGGATTTCTACTTTTGCCCCTCCTTTCCATGCAAGTGAAGAGTGGGGTGATGTGGCAGCAATTATCTTCTCAGCTGCTGGCAAAGCGCTTATGAGGCCAATTGCACTTTCATTGAATAGCTAAAGGTACTATTGAAAAGGCCACCCCTCGATGGGGGCCAAAGATACAAAGGTACCCGTCCTTGGCCCTGCTGTCATTCGGAGAAAACCCCGATACAGTCAGAGGGAAACACGATCCCAAACATTACGGACTCTAGAAGCACTCTAATTCGGGCCGTAATGTCGTACAGAAGCAAAATGGAAGTGCGTTTTAACTTTCCTTACTCAGCCCTCTACTAATCGATATGCTTGGCTTCATCCCCCAATGATACGGTATCTCCCGTGCATGTATCTCAGCCACGATCATTCGATTCATTCATCAGTAAGCTGTCAAGGTACGGAGAAAACCCAATCTTGGCTTCTCTTGGGTGCGGGTATGTGTCATCAATTGATAAGTCATATTTGCTGGTTGGGAGAATGCGATGTTGTTTGGATTCGGTCGCTCGCTTGGCGTTAGTGTGTGTTGAGCATTTCCCCTATTTGCTTTCTCGCTGGAAAGTTCTATTGATTATCGCGGGATGAGAAACGGTTTATCCTCGGCGATAACAGCAGGAGTGCAGAAAAGTGTTCACAAAATGCAGCTGGGTCTTCCATGCAGCAACACTAAACTGGCCAGCCACGACTCACTAGTCCCTACCACAGCCTGGTTCTGACAGGCAGTGCACGTTGTACCCACAGCACCGGATACCGATCTTCGATCTATCGAAAACCCAAATCCCATTCCTACTGGCTACCTGCACAATCATCACTCCTCCCAAATGCAATGCGCATGTGTAGTCATCCATCCACGAGCTCGGTTAGAAAAAATAACGTGTATGCAGGGTGTGTTATTCAGCCTCTTGGCGACGCACTCCAGCCTCAACCGACCTATCACGACAAGGGTGTTTTGGGATTTATATCCTCAAAAGGATGTTGAGAAAGAATGGCACTTTGGGAAAGATTACGTGCTCACTGTTCACTGGGACGTTCGAGTTGCGTTTTCAGCCCTGTCGGGACCGAAATGTGGGGTCTATGGAGCGAAGGATGGCGGTGATAGTTTCTGGCCACGATATCCATGGTTGAGTGCATCGAGAATGGGGGCCGCTCATAGGCAACTGAATGGCATTAGTTGACGGTGAAGCGCTGAAATAATTCATAAAGTAGTGAGTTTCCCGCTGACTGTCCTTCTCTTTTCGTCATTATCACCACTCTCAATACCTACAACCACCAAGCAGAAGATCGGTATAGTTTCTACTGTGCCTTCCAATAAAGTCACCATGAATCAAGAATGCATTCAGTTCGTCCCTTTCAGTCATTATGATTGGACATTTGCCCGCAAAGGTTGGCTCCCATGGAAGTAAGTCCCCCTCATCGTCAGCACTTGGCAGTCTACTAACGTCAACAAAGCCCAACAGCATTTTGCCTCATCGCTTCGGTCTGTGCGGTTGCATATTGGATGAGCATCGAACTCTTACTCCTCGTTTATGTAACATTCAAACGACATACTGGAGTCTACTTCTGGTCCATCGTCATCACAACCATCGGCATCGTCTTTCAAACAACCGGATACATCCTCAAGTCCTTTGAGAATACATGGCCTGTGGTGTTAGTCGTCATCATCTGCAAGGTCGGCTGGGTTGCAAACGTCACTGGATTCTCCATCGTCCTTTGGTCCCGTCTTCACCTCGTTGTCAGAAATCCTAGCATTCTAAAATGGCTTCTCGTCCTCATCCTCGTCAATGGCCTCGTCTGCCACACTCCAGTCGTTGTCTTCGAGTTTGGCCTCATGACAAGCCACCATGACACTTACTACCGACCCATGCAAATCATGGAGCGCATCCAACAAACCGTCTTCACCCTCCAAGAAACAGTCATGTCCTGCCTATACATCTACCACACCCGCAAATTCCTCAAGATCGGCTACCCCATGCAAACCCGCAAAGTAATCGGCCTCCTCCTTCTCGTTCAACTCCTCGTCATCGCCCTCGACGCAGTCCTAACACTATTCGACTACACCGACAAATTCACACTAAAATGCACACTCCACCCCCTTGTCTACTCCATCAAACTCAAGCTCGAGTTCATCGTCCTGAACCAACTCCAATCCCTAGTCAAGCGAGGCATGACTCCGGGTTTAGGCTCAGCGCCAGCCATTCCAGCAGACGAGAAACTCAACCGGGCATCACCATCACCGTCACCAGCAGCATCACCATCACCTTCACCTTCACCGCGAGTGACGACACCTCAGGAAGCGCGGACACAGAAACCAGCGCCGCGGTTCGAGACAGGGTTTGTTACCAAACCTGGGCCGACGGTGACAGAGCTCAATTTCGGGCAGCCAAGTCCTGGCGAGTCTCTGACCGATAGTCTGGAGAGCGAGGGCAAGGTGTTGGGGAATAGGAAACATGATTCGAATCAGACGCTTACGGAGAGCGATGAGCATGATTTGAGGATTGTGGTTGGGAGGGCGGATGATATTGTTGAGCAGCCGGATGATATGGAGAGGCAGTATTTGGGGAGGTGGGACGGTGGGAGGGAGTAAATCAAGGAGCATCGGTGGGAGTTTGGAGTACTAACGACAGTGATGACAATCATGACAACTATGAGATTTGAAGCTTCTGGGTTGGAATCATACGAGCGGGCGATGGCGGTTGTTTGTCATTGCAGAAAATCGGCGGTTAATTTCTGAATACGGGTCAATAAACCTAATTTCCAAAACTTTTCAAACTTCCCTATTGATGTGCTGATCCCGAACTTTTTGAACTCTACCTGTGACTTTGGGAAATCAATTCTTTCGCCATCATCACTACTCCTCGCATAGTAGGATAAAAATCTTCAATTCAAAAAGAAGTAGACCTGGATTGAACTTACTAACTGGCCACACGCTAGCTTTACGTACAAGAAACTGCGGCTGACCAGCCCCAGAAAATATATACAAGAAGCTGGAAAGTCCTACAGACTTAATTTTCTAGACGGTCCATCCCTTATCGCCCCAGACTGGGCCTCCAGGAGGCGTGTACGGGTTGCTTGCCGACACATCTCTATGCTCAAGGAAGATCTACACAAGCATTTAGCAAACAACCCAAACTACCAAACAACGATCATCACTCCTATAGGCCCCGGCAGCGCAATCCCCTCCGGCAAGGCCGTCGTTCCACCGCCCGTAACGGTAACATGATGACAACTCGGTTAAAACTGCGCAAGACTTCCATCCGTATCCATGCATTGCAGGCCTAGAATCTCGTGGCGGAGAATATACTCTCCTGGAGCTATTGTGGAGGGGAGAGTGGTTTCGTAAGTGCTGTTTTGAGTTGGGAGACGTTTGCTGGCCCTGGGAATGGTTTGAGTGGTGTCGTAACCGGCTTGGTCGATTTTAACCCAGACGTTATCTGTGCTGCCGGAGAAGGAGGAGCAGGGTCCGTTGCAGGATGGTAGGTATGTCATAAATGCAAGCGAAGTATGAGATACTTTGTTTTAATCATAGCTGGACATTGAAGTAATAAGAAAACAAAGACGTAAGTGTAAACATACTCGGCCCAGGATGGTCACTCTTCCACTCCGTCCACATGAACTTCACCACCGCCCCAGCTGCGACTTCCGCCATCCCATTTACGGGTATATTATTTCCACCTTGGCAGCATTGCATGTAACAGCATCAGTCTCGAACAAGTCATCTGTCACAGGGCCATTGTTGTCGAATTTGCGAGTTATTTTATTGAGGCCTTTCTTGAAGGGGTCTTTGTACGGGTTCCAGGTATCGACTACATTGTTGCCAAGCCATATTTGTTGGACGAAACCGTGAGCTGAAGAGAGGGTGACAAGAGAAGGGAGAATAATTGCGGGCTTCATTTTGATGGATGCTGGCAGGGTGGAAGGGAGGAGATTGAGTATCCGGTACTTTGAGAAAGGAAGAAACGAATGGACAGTTACCGGAATTGGAATGAATATAAGTGAGCAATATGAGATGAAGCAATGAACTAACCACTTGAAGAAACAATTTGTCAAACATGAACCTACTAAGCTATACATGAGAATATCTTGTGTGATATTTCTCAGCACAGTACTTTGAAATAAGAAAATGTGGGGTCTGCCAAGAAGCTTGACTTCCCCAGATTGATGAGGTCCCCGGGATTTGGATATCCTTGATGGAGCGAGTGGATGTTTGAAACAAGAGATTAAGTGTAAACCTTCCTCGCGCCTTAGATTAGGCCTGATGGAACTACCTTGTAGCCTTGATATATTCCTAGCCGAATGGCTAGAAAGGAAGGAAAGCGAACGAAAAGCAAATATTTCTTGACTTTGACTAAAACCAGAAGCCCAAATTCATCTACATGCTTGAGGAAGCACGGCAAGCGAAACAGGAGCTAAATTCTGCCAGGGTCCTAGCTTAAGTGTGGCCTGATCTCCAGCTTGTCCATATTCCATGACTCGGAAACAATCAAGGCTCGACAAATAATAAGCTTGAAACATGAGGTCTCTTTCGACGAATCATCAACCTTCGCACATTCAACGGGCTTAACCCATCATCCGTGTAAATCCCACCTTTCTTGAGATGCATGATTTGGCCGCTGCCAAGTTTAAATGCCATCGGTGTTTCAAAACTCAGCATTTGACAATCCCGCAGGCAGCGTTTTTCGTACCCAGTCACGAAGCCTTCTTCTCAGCCATCATCATCTCGTCTTGCTTCTTATCCACAACCCAATCCCAAACAGTCTCCTCATCCGCAGCTCGTTGCAACTCCTCAAGATTCAGAATCGATCTAACCCTCCCCTTTCTCGCCATTGAAACCTTCCCACCGTAAAATGAACCCATCACATCAATAC